GATTTAGCCATTCTTACAGACATAATAACTAAATCTTAAACTTGAGGGGGAGGAGAGAACTAAACTAAAGTCTTTGAATTAAAGGTCTTATAAATTCATTTTAAATCAAATTAATTTTGTGAAAATATTACACAAATATAAGGAATATACATTTTTACCATAATGTAATGTACGTTTTGCCACTTTGAAAATCTCGAGAACTAAAGCGTGAAATATAAGAAAACTGAAACAAACATTTGAAAAATCTCATCGAGCTTAAGTTAGTTTCTAAATTAGATGTTTTGAGTGTATTTAAAATTAGGCCAACTACTTCATTCACTTCAAACCCATTACATAATACTAGTATTTAAGAAAAATGGTAAAAGATTGCAAATATGTTAAATAACAATTCTACTGATCTAGAAATGGAAGTAACTGATTTTCATCCTAATTAAGATCAAGAATATCACAAAAAGCCATTTGAATAGTCCTAGATCAGAAAAATCATGACCTGTTAAACTTTTAAAAAGATAAATCACAAATCAATGTTCAGCCATGGATTTTGCAGCAGTGAAATTATAACATTCAAGCATTTCTAGTGGAAATAAAGTTAATATAAAACAAGAATTACCAGCCACAGATGTCTTTTTGCTCTGCACTATTTCTCCGTTCTTTTCATCTTCGTTCTTTTTCTTTCATGATATCATGTTCTGCAATCCAAGAGTGCACAAAAATGATGACAAATTACACTAGAAGAGGCCAAGGGGGGGAAAAAGGAATCATTAGATTTTAACTACTTTGAAATTAAAGAATAATTATACACACAAAGAGAAATATCTAATATTGTTTCTTAATATATAAAACTTCAAAAGTAGCCTTCTTTGTTTTAAATTCCAGCAATGTGCTACATTGTTACTAAAATCATGACTGCAGTCGATAGAAAAGCAAATGATTTTCCTAATACGACAGAAGTACAGTAAGCGAAGGGGGTTTTTAATGTATGGGTACAACATGAACAATGAAAGAAAAAAAATTAGACAGTTATTACGGATACACAGAATAAAAGGGATAATGATCTTCGAGAAGAGTAAATAATTTCAGCGCTGGTAGAAAGATGGCACCAAAAGACAATAAGCAGGTAATTTTAAATGACAAATAAACAAAATAAACTTTACTGTTAGCTTTGAAGCAGGTGTTATATATTAAACTATCTTAATTCACACACAGAATTAGTGACATAACAGATCAAAAAAGAGTAAGAATCAAACTCGCAATATATTAACATTAAAAAGCTATACATATATATATTTTTATAGATTTTTTTTTTTAGAAAGGGCTCAAAAACACCATTCTAAAAACAGATTTCGAAGAACATCTTGGAAACAAAAGTCATAAACCATAAAAGAAATATTTCATTCAGAATTTTAACGTAAGAACCGTTTCTAATTTTAAGTTCTTTACTTAGGTACTCTCATCCATGAGAGAGGAACGCTTAGTCCAATGTACAAGAAATTATCCTGAAATATTACGTCACTTTAATGAAATTATAGCAATATTTCACTCAGGGAAAGAACATATTGTCTAGCTGCCCGGGTTCGAGCCCAGCTTTAATACAGCAAGCCAAAAACACATCAAATGCCATTGAATGATACAGCATTTTGAAATGATGCAAAAAATTTAAATGCAATTTTCGTGGAAGCAGCTATTGTAATTACCTACATACTAAAATTTTGACCAAAAATTAAAGAAAACTAAGATACTCTTTTTCTTTCGAAGGAATCAAAGTCATATACTAATGTAGGGATGCTCAACGTATTGTACTATAAAACCTAAACATAGGAATGAAATTTTGTCAGCTATGTGAGATGTCCAATAAAGAGAAATTCCGTAAATTGTAGAATAGAACCTACGTCTGAAAACAGACGAAAGGTAAAACATAATTCAAATACTTTACTTTTAGCACTTGAAGCAGGTATTCTACATTAAACTGTCTTAATTCACATACAGAATTAGTAATATAATAGCTCAAAATATTGTAAGAACCAAACACGCATTACATAAACATTAAAAAAAAATCTATATACATTTATTAGTGTTACGAGGGTTTATTCTGAAATATTATAAGGTCACTTTCAATGAAATGATAGAAATTTTCACTCAGGGAAGGGACATTCTGTCTGGCTGCCTAGGTTCCATCCCAGCTTTTGTTACAAAAGTTTCATAGAAGAATTTTAAAAATCCAGAAACGAAACTTATGAAGAAATTATTGAACATACCTGGTTCTATGATTTAGCCATTCTTACAGACATAATAACTAAATCTTAAACTTGAGGGGGAGGAGAGAACTAAACTAAAGTCTTTGAATTAAAGGTATTATAAATTCATTTTAAATCAAATTAATTTTGTGAAAATATTACACAAATATAAGGAATATACATTTTTACCATAATGTAATGTACGTTTTGCCACTTTGAAAATCTCGAGAACTAAAGCGTGAAATATAAGAAAACTGAAACAAACATTTGGAAAATCTCATCGAGCTTAAGTTAGTTTCTAAATTAGATGTTTTGAGTGTATTTAAAATTAGGCCAACTACTTCATTCACTTCAAACCCATTACATAATACTAGTATTTAAGAAAAATGGTAAAAGATTGCAAATATGTTAAATAACAATTCTACTGATCTAGAAATGGAAGTAACTGATTTTCATCCTAATTAAGATCAAGAATATCACAAAAAGCCATTTGAATAGTCCTAGATCAGAAAAATCATGACCTGTTAAACTTTTAAAAAGATAAATTTCTGCTTTCGATCTACTAAAAATGTGAAAGAGGATTTTCAACAACGAACTTGTTAAAAATCAATGTTCAGATACAGGATAACAAACAAACATCCGAACGACTGCATGGATTTAGCCATAACATCGCATGTACCAGAGGGAAAGAAAAACTCGCAGAAGAAATGCAGTGTACAAATTATAACATTCAAGCATTTCTAGTGGAAATAAAGTTAATATAAAACAAGAATTACCAGCCACAGATGTGTTTTTGCTCTGCACTATTTCTCCATTCTTTTCCTCTTCGTTCTTTTTCTTTCATGATATCATGTTCTGCAATCCAAGAGTGCACAAAAATGATGACAAATTACACTAGAAGAGGCCAAGGGGGGAAAAGGAATCATTAGATTTTAACTACTTTGATAATAAAGAATAATTATACACACACAGAAATATCTAATATTGTTTCTTAATATATAAAACTTCAAAAGTAGCCTTCTTTGTTTTAAATTCCAGCAATGTGCTACATTGTTACTAAAATCATGACTGCAGTCGATAGAAAAGCAAATGATTTTCCTAATACGACAAAAGTACAGTAAGCGAAGGGGGATTTTAATGTATGGGTACAACATGAACAATAAAAGAAAAAAAATTAGACAGTTATTACGGATACACAGAATAAAAGGGATAATGATCTTCGAGAGTAAATAATTTCAGCGCTGCAAAATGATGGCACCAAAAGACAATAAGCAGGTAATTTTAAGTAACAAATAAACAAAATAAACTTTACTGTTAGCTTTACTGAAGCAGATGTTATATATTAAACAATCTTAATTCACACACAGAATTAGTGACATAACAGATCAAAAAAGAGTAATAATCAAACTCGCAATATATTAACATTAAAATAGCTATACATATATATATTTTTATAGATTTTTTTTTTTAGAAAGGGCTCAAAAACACCATTCTAAAAACAGATTTCGAAGAACATCTTGGAAACAAAAGTCATTAACCATAAAAAAATATTTCATTCAGAATTTTAACGTAAGAACCGTTTCTATTTTTAAGTTCTTTACTTAGGTACTCTTATCCATGAGAGAGGAACGCTTAACCCAATGTACAAGAAATTATCCTGAAATATTACGTCACTTTAATGAAATTATAGCAATATTTCAGTCAGAGAAAGAACATACTGACTGGCTGCCCGGGTTCGAGCCCAGCTTTAATACACCAAGCCAAGACACATCAAATGCCATTGAATGATACAGCATTTTGAAATGATGCAAAAAATTTAAATGCTATTTTCTGGAAGCACTATTGTAATTACCTACATACTAAAATTTTGAGCAAAAATTAAAGAAAACTAAGATACTCTTTTTCTTTAGAAGGAATCAAAGTCATATACTAATGTACGGATGCTCAACGTATTGTACTATAAAACCTAAACATAGGAATGAAATTTTGTCAGCTATGTGAGATGTCCAATAAAGAGGAATTCCGTAAATTGTAGAATAGAACCTACGTCTGAAAACAGATGAATGGTAAAACATAATTCAAATACTTTACTTTTAGCACTGAAGCAGGTATTCTACATTTAACTGCCTTAATTCACATACAGAATTAGTAATATAATAGCTCAAAATATTGTAAGAACAAAAGACGCATTACATAAACATTAAAAGAAATCTATATACATTTATTAGTATTACGAGGGTTTATTCTGAAATATTATAAGGTCACTTTCAATGAAATGATAGAAATTTTCACTCAGGGAAGGGACATTCTGTCTGGCTGCCTAGGTTGTATCCCAGCTCTTGTTACAAAAGTTTCATAGAAGAATTTTAAAAATCCAGAAACGAAACTTATGAAGAAATTATTGAACATACCTGGTTCTACGATTTAGCCATTCTTACAGACATAATAACTAAATCTTAAACTTGAGGGGGAGGAGAGAACTAAACTAAAGTCTTTGAATTAAAGGTCTTATAAATTCATTTTAAATCAAATTAATTTTGTGAAAATATTACACAAATATAAGGAATATACATTTTTACCATAATGTAATGTACGTTTTGCCACTTTGAAAATCTCGAGAACTAAAGCGTGAAATATAAGAAAACTGAAACAAACATTTGAAAAATCTCATCGAGCTTAAGTTAGTTTCTAAATTAGATGTTTTGAGTGTATTTAAAATTAGGCCAACTACTTCATTCACTTCAAACCCATTACATAATACTAGTATTTAAGAAAAATGGTAAAAGATTGCAAATATGTTAAATAACAATTCTACTGATCTAGAAATGGAAGTAACTGATTTTCATCCTAATTAAGATCAAGAATATCACAAAAAGCCATTTGAATAGTCCTAGATCAGAAAAATCATGACCTGTTAAACTTTTAAAAAGATAAATTTCTGCTTTCGATCTACTAAAAAAATGTGAAAGAGGATTTTCAACAACGAACTTGTTAAAAATCAATGTTCAGATACAGGATAACAAACAAACATCCGAACGACTGCATGGATTTAGCCATAACATCGCATGTACCAGAGGGAAAGAAAAACTCGCAGAAGAAATGCAGTGTACAAATTATAACATTCAAGCATTTCTAGTGGAAATAAAGTTAATATAAAAAACAAGAATTACCAGCCACAGATGTTTTTGCTCTGCACTATTTCTCCATTCTTTTCATCTTCGTTCTTTTTCTTTCATGATATCATGTTCTGCAATCCAAGAGTGCACAAAAATGATGACAAATTACACTAGAAGAGGCCAAGGGGGGAAAAGGAATCATTAGATTTTAACTACTTTGAAATTAAAGAATAATTATACACAACAGAGAAATATCTAATATTGTTTCTTAATATATATAAAACTTCAAAAGTAGCCTTCTTTGTTTTAAATTCCAGCAATGTGCTACATTGTTACTAAAATCATGACTGCAGTCGATAGAAAAGCAAATGATTTTCCTAATACGACAGAAGTACAGTAAGCGAAGGGGATTTTAATGTATGGGTACAACATGAACAATGAAAGAAAAAAAAATTAGACAGTTATTACGGATACACAGAATAAAAGGGATAATGATCTTCGAGAAGAGTAAATAATTTCAGCGCTGGTAAAAAGATGGCACCAAAAGACAATAAGCAGGTAATTTTAAATGACAAATAAACAAAATAAACTTTACTGTTAGCTTTGAAGCAGGTGTTATATATTAAACAATCTTAATTCACACACAGAATTAGTGACATAACAGATCAAAAAAGAGTAAGAATCAAACTCGCAATATATTAACATTAAAATAGCTATACATATATATATTTTTATAGATTTTTTTTTTAGAAAGGGCTCAAAAACACCATTCTAAAAACAGATTTCGAAGAACATCTTGGAAACAAAAGTCATTAACCATAAAAGAAATATTTCATTCAGAATTTTAACGTAAGAACCGTTTCTATTTTTAAGTTCTTTACTTAGGTACTCTTATCCATGAGAGAGGAACGCTTAGTCCAATGTACAAGAAATTATCCTGAAATATTACGTCACTTTAATGAAATTATAGCAATATTTCACTCAGGGAAAGAACATATTGTCTGGCTGCCCGGGTTCGAGCCCAGCTTTAATACAGCAAGCCAAAACACATCAAATGCCATTGAATGATACAGCATTTTGAAATGATGCAAAAAATTTAAATGCAATTTTCGTGGAAGCACTATTGTAATTACCTACATACTAAAATTTTGACCAAAAATTAAAGAAAACTAAGATACTCTTTTTCTTTAGAAGGAATCAAAGTCATATACTAATGTACGGATGCTCAACGTATTGTACTATAAAACCTAAACATAGGAATGAAATTTTGTCAGCTATGTGAGATGTCCAATAAAGAGAAATTCCGTAAATTGTAGAACAGAGCCTACGTCTGTAAACAGATGAACGGTAAAACATAATTCAAATACTTTACTTTTAGCACTGAAGCAGGTATTCTACATTAGACTGTTTTAATTCACATACAGGATTAGATATATAATAGCTCAAAATATTGTAAGAACCAAACACGCATCACATAAACATTAAAAAAAATCTATATACATTTATTAGTGTCACGAGGGTTTATTCTGAAATATTATAAGGTCACTTTCAATGAAATGATAGAAATTTTCACTCAGGGAAGGGACATTCTGTCTGGCTGCCTAAGTTCTATCCCAGCTCTTGTTACAAAAGTTTCATAGAAGAATTTTAAAAATCCAGAAACGAAACTTATGAAGAAATTATTGAACATACCTGGTTCTACGATTTAGCCATTCTTACAGACATAATAACTAAATCTTAAACTTGAGGGGGAGGAGAGAACTAAACTAAAGTCTTTGAATTAAAGGTATTATAAATTCATTTTAAATCAAATTAATTTTGTGAAAATATTACACAAATATAAGGAATATACATTTTTACCATAATGTAATGTACGTTTTGCCACTTTGAAAATCTCGAGAACTAAAGCGTGAAATATAAGAAAACTGAAACAAACATTTGGAAAAATCTCATCGAGCTTAAGTTAGTTTCTAAATTAGATGTTTTGAGTGTATTTAAAATTAGGCCAACTACTTCATTCACTTCAAACCCATTACATAATACTAGTATTTAAGAAAAATGGTAAAAGATTGCAAATATGTTAAATAACAATTCTACTGATCTAGAAATGGAAGTAACTGATTTTCATCCTAATTAAGATCAAGAATATCACAAAAAGCCATTTGAATAGTCCTAGATCAGAAAAATCATGACCTGTTAATCTTTTAGAAAGATAAATTTCTGCTTTCGATCTACTAAACAATGTGAAAGAGGATTTTCAACAACAAACTTGTTAAAATCAATGTTCAGATACAGGATAACAAACAAACATCCGAACGACTGCATGGATTTAGGCATAACATCGCAGGTATCAGAGGGAAAGAAAAAGTCGCAGAAGAAATGCAGTGTAGAAATTATAACATTCAAGCATTTCTAGTGGAAATAAAGTTAATATAAAACAAGAATTACCAGCCACAGATGTCTTTTTGCTCTGCACTATTTCTCCATTCTTTTCATCTTCGTTCTTTTTCTTTCATGATATCATGTTCTGCAATCCAAGAGTGCACAAAAATGATGACAAATTACACTAGAAGAGGCCAAGGGGGGGGGAAGGAATCATTAGATTTTAACTACTTTAAAATTAAAGAATAATTATACACACACAGAAATATCTAATATTCTTTCTTAATATATATAACTTCAAAAGTAGCCTTCTTTGTTTTAAATTCCAGCAATGTGCTACATTGTTACTAAAACCATGACTGCAGTGGATAGGAAAGCAAATGATTTTCCTAATACGACAGAAGTACAGTAAGTGAAGGGGGATTTTAATGTAAGGGTATAACATGAACAATGAAAGAAAAAAAATTAGATAGTTATTACGGATACACAGAATAAAAGGGATAATGATCTTCGAGAAGAGTAAATAATTTCAGCGCTGGTAAAAAGATGGCACCAAAAGACAATAAGCAGGTAATTTTAAATGACAAATAAACAAAATAAACTTTACTGTTAGCTTTTGAAGCAGGTGTTATATATTAAACAATCTTAATTCACACACAGAATTAGTGACATAACAGATCAAAAAAGAGTAATAATCAAACTCGCAATATATTAACATTAAAATAGCTATACATATATATATTTTTATAGATTTTTTTTTTAGAAAGGGCTCAAAAACACCATTCTAAAAACAGATTTCGAAGAACATCTTGGAAACAAAAGTCATTAACCATAAAAAAAAATATTTCATTCAGAATTTTAACGTAAGAACCGTTTCTAATTTTAAGTTCTTTACTTAGGTACTCTTATCCATGAGAGAGGAACGCTTAGTCCAATGTACAAGAAATTATCCTGAAATATTACGTCACTTTAATGAAATTATAGCAATATTTCACTCAGGAAAGAAAGAACATATTGTCTGGCTGCCCGGGTTCGAGCCCAGCTTTAATACACAGCAAGCCAAAACACATCAAATGCCATTGAATGATACAGCATTTTGAAATGATGCAAAAAATTTAAATGCAATTTTCGTGGAAGCACTATTGTAATTACCTACATACTAAAATTTTGACCAAAAATTAAAGAAAACTAAGATACTCTTTTTCTTTAGAAGGAATCAAAGTCATATACTAATGTAGGGATGCTCAACGTATTGTACTATAAAACCTAAACATAGGAATGAAATTTTGTCAGCTATGTGAGATGTCCAATAAAGAGAAATTCCGTAAATTGTAGAATAGAACCTACGTCTGAAAACAGATGAACGGTAAAACATAATTCAAATACTTTACTTTTAGCACTGAAGCAGGTATTCTACATTAAACTGCCTTAATTCACATACAGAATTAGTAATATAATAGCTCAAAATATTGTAAGAACAAAACACGCATTACATAAACATTAAAAAAATCTATATACATTTATTAGTGTTACGAGGGTTTATTCTGAAATATTATAAGGTCACTTTCAATGAAATGATAGAAATTTTCACTCAGGGAAGGGACATTCTGTCTGGCTGCCTAGGTTTCATCCCAGCTTTGTTACAAAAGTTTCATAGAAGAATTTTAAAAATCCAGAAACGAAACTTATGAAGAAATTATTGAACATACCTGGTTCTATGATTTAGCCATTCTTACAGACATAATAACTAAATCTTAAACTTGAGGGGGAGGAGAGAACTAAACTAAAGTCTTTGAATTAAAGGTATTATAAATTCATTTTAAATCAAATTAATTTTGTGAAAATATTACACAAATATAAGGAATATACATTTTTACCATAATGTAATGTACGTTTTTGCCACTTTGAAAATCTCGAGAACTAAAGCGTGAAATATAAGAAAACTGAAACAAACATTTGGAAAAATCTCATCGAGCTTAAGTTAGTTTCTAAATTAGATGTTTTGAGTGTATTTAAAATTAGGCCAACTACTTCATTCACTTCAAACCCATTACATAATACTAGTATTTAAGAAAAAATGGTAAAAGATTGCAAATATGTTAAATAACAATTCTACTGATCTAGAAATGGAAAGTAACTGATTTTCATCCTAATTAAGATCAAGAATATCACAAAAAAAAGCCATTTGAATAGTCCTAGATCAGAAAAATCATGACCTGTTAAACTTTTAAAAAGATAAATTTCTGCTTTCGATCTACTAAAAAATGTGAAAGAGGATTTTCAACAACGAACTTGTTAAAAATCAATGTTCAGATACAGGATAACAAACAAACATCCGAACGACTGCATGGATTTAGCCATAACATCGCATGTACCAGAGGGAAAGAAAAACTCGCAGAAGAAATGCAGTGTACAAATTATAACATTCAAGCATTTCTAGTGGAAATAAAGTTAATATAAAACAAGAATTACCAGCCACAGATGTCTTTTTGCTCTGCACTATTTCTCCATTCTTTTCATCTTCGTTCTTTTTCTTTCATGATATCATGTTCTGCAATCCAAGAGTGCACAAAAATGATGACAAATTACACTAGAAGAGGCCAAGGGGGGAAAAGGAATCATTAGATTTTAACTACTTTGAAATTAAAGAATAATTATACACAAACAGAAATATCTAATATTGTTTCTTAATATATAAAACTTCAAAAGTAGCCTTCTTTGTTTTAAATTCCAGCAATGTGCTACATTGTTACTAAAATCATGACTGCAGTCGATAGAAAAGCAAATGATTTTCCTAATACGACAGAAGTACAGTAAGCGAAGGGGGTTTTTAATGTATGGGTACAACATGAACAATGAAAGAAAAAAAATTAGACAGTTATTACGGATACACAGAATAAAAGGGATAATGATCTTCGAGAAGAGTAAATAATTTCAGCGCTGGTAAAAGATGGCACCAAAAGACAATAAGCAGGTAATTTTAAATGACAAATAAACAAAATAAACTTTACTGTTAGCTTTGAAGCAGGTGTTATATATTAAACTATCTTAATTCACACACAGAATTAGTGACATAACAGATCAAAAAAGAGTAAGAATCAAACTCGCAATATATTAACATTAAAAGAGCTATACATATATATATTTTTATAGATTTTTTTTTTTAGAAAGGGCTCAAAAACACCATTCTAAAAACAGATTTCGAAGAACATCTTGGAAACAAAAGTCATTAACCATAAAAGAAATATTTCATTCAGAATTTTAACGTAAGAACCGTTTCTATTTTTAAGTTCTTTACTTAGGTACTCTTATCCATGAGAGAGGAACGCTTAGTCCAATGTACAAGAAATTATCCTGAAATATTACGTCACTTTAATGAAATTATAGCAATATTTCACTCAGGGAAAGAACATATTGTCTAGCTGCCCGGGTTCGAGCCCAGCTTCAATACAGCAAGCCAAAAGACATCAAATGCCATTGAATGATACAGCATTTTGAAATGATGCAAAAAATTTAAATGCAATTTCGTGGAAGCACTATTGTAATTACCTACATACTAAAATTTTGACCAAAAATTAAAGAAAACTAAGATACTCTTTTTCTTTCGAAGGAATCAAAGTCATATACTAATGTAGGGATGCTCAACGTATTGTACTATAAAACCTAAACATAGGAATGAAATTTTGTCAGCTATGTGAGATGTCCAATAAAGAGAAATTCCGTAAATTGTAGAATAGAACCTACGTCTGAAAACAGACGAAAGGTAAAACATAATTCAAATACTTTACTTTTAGCACTTGAAGCAGGTATTCTACATTAAACCTTAATTCACATACAGAATTAGTAATATAATAGCTCAAAATATTGTAAGAACAAAACACGCATTACATAAACATTAAAAAAATCTATATACATTTATTAGTGTTACGAGGGTTTATTCTGAAATATTATAAGGTCACTTTCAATGAAATGATAGAAATTTTCACTCAGGGAAGGGACATTCTGTCTGGCTGCCTAGGTTCCATCCCAGCTTCTGTTACAAAAGTTTCATAGAAGAATTTTAAAAATCCAGAAACGAAACTTATGAAGAAAATTATTGAACATACCTGGTTCTATGATTTAGCCATTCTTACATACATAATAACTAAATCTTAAACTTGAGGGGGAGGAGAGAACTAAACTAAAGTCTTTGAATTAAAGGTATTATAAATTCATTTTAAATCAAATTAATTTTGTGAAAATATTACACAAATATAAGGAATATACATTTTTACCATAATGTAATGTACGTTTTGCCACTTTGAAAATCTCGAGAACTAAAGCGTGAAATATAAGAAAACTGAAACAAACATTTGGAAAAATCTCATCGAGCTTAAGTTAGTTTCTAAATTAGATGTTTTGAGTGTATTTAAAATTAGGCCAACTACTTCATTCACTTCAAACCCATTACATAATACTAGTATTTAAGAAAAATGGTAAAAGATTGCAAATATGTTAAATAACAATTCTACTGATCTAGAAATGGAAGTAACTGATTTTCATCCTAATTAAGATCAAGAATATCACAAAAAGCCATTTGAATAGTCCTAGATCAGAAAAATCATGACCTGTTAAACTTTTAAAAAGATAAAAATTTCTGCTTTCGATCTACTAAAAATGTGTGAAAGAGGATTTTCAACAACGAACTTGTTAAAAATCAATGTTCAGATACAGGATAACAAACAAAACATCCGAACGACTGCATGGATTTAGCCATAACATCGCATGTACCAGAGGGAAAGAAAAAACTCGCAGAAGAAAGAAATGCAGTGTACAAATTATAACATTCAAGCATTTCTAGTGGAAATAAAGTTAATATAAAACAAGAATTACCAGCCACAGATGTCTTTTTGCTCTGCACTATTTCTCCATTCTTTTCATCTTCGTTCTTTTTCTTTCATGATATCATGTTCTGCAATCCAAGAGTGCACAAAAATGATGACAAATTACACTAGAAGAGGCCAAGGGGGGGAAAAGGAATCATTAGATTTTAACTACTTTGAAATTAAAGAATAATTATACACAAAGAGAAATATCTAATATTGTTTCTTAATATATAAAACTTCAAAAGTAGCCTTCTTTGTTTTAAATTCCAGCAATGTGCTACATTGTTACTAAAATCATGACTGCAGTCGATAGAAAAGCAAATGATTTTCCTAATACGACAGAAGTACAGTAAGCGAAGGGGGTTTTTAATGTATGGGTACAACATGAACAATGAAAGAAAAAAAAATTAGACAGTTATTACGGATACACAGAATAAAAAGGGATAATGATCTTCGAGAAGAGTAAATAATTTCAGCGCTGGTAAAAAGATGGCACCAAAAGACAATAAGCAGGTAATTTTAAATGACAAATAAACAAAATAAACTTTACTGTTAGCTTTGAAGCAGGTGTTATATATTAAACTATCTTAATTCACACACAGAATTAGTGACATAACAGATCAAAAAAGAGTAAGAATCAAACTCGCAATATATTAACATTAAAAGAGCTATACATATATATATTTTTATAGATTTTTTTTTTAGAAAGGGCTCAAAAACACCATTCTAAAAACAGATTTCGAAGAAGAACATCTTGGAAACAAAAGTCATAAACCATAAAAGAAATATTTCATTCAGAATTTTAACGTAAGAACCGTTTCTAATTTTTAAGTTCTTTACTTAGGTACTCTCATCCATGAGAGAGGAACGCTTAGTCCAATGTACAAGAAATTATCCTGAAATATTACGTCACTTTAATGAAATTATAGCAATATTTCACTCAGGGAAAGAACATATTGTCTAGCTGCCCGGGTTCGAGCCCAGCTTTAATACAGCAAGCCAAAACACATCAAATGCCATTGAATGATACAGCATTTTGAAATGATGCAAAAAATTTAAATGCAATTTCGTGGAAGCACTATTGTAATTACCTACATACTAAAATTTTGACCAAAAATTAAAGAAAACTAAGATACTCTTTTTCTTTAGAAGGAATCAAAGTCATATACTAATGTAGGGATGCTCAACGTATTGTACTATAAAACCTAAACATAGGAATGAAATTTTGTCAGCTATGTGAGATGAGTCCAATGTCCAATAAAGAGAAATTCCGTAAATTGTAGAATAGAACCTACGTCTGAAAACAGACGAAAGGTAAAACATAATTCAAATACTTTACTTTTAGCCTTGAAGCAGGTATTCTACATTAAACTGCCTTAATTCACATACAGAATTAGTAATATAATAGCTCAAAATATTGTAAGAACCAAACACGCATTACATAAACATTAAAAGAAATCTATATACATTTATTAGTGTTACGAGGGTTTATTCTGAAATATTATAAGGTCACTTTCAATGAAATGATAGAAATTTTTCACTCAGGGAAGGGACATTCTGTCTGGCTGCCTAGGTTCATCCCAGCTTCTTGTTACAAAAGTTTCATAGAAGAATTTTAAAAATCCAGAAACGAAAAACTTATGAAGAAATTATTGAACATACCTGGTTCTATGATTTAGCCATTCTTACAGACATAAAAACTAAATCTTAAACTTGAGGGGGAGGAGAGAACTAAACTAAAGTCTTTGAATTAAAGGTATTATAAATTCATTTTAAATCAAATTAATTTTGTGAAAATATTACACAAATATAAGGAATATACATTTTTACCATAATGTAATGTACGTTTTGCCACTTTGAAAATCGAGAACTAAAGCGTGAAATATAAGAAAACTGAAAACAACATTTGGAAAAATCTCATCGAGCTTAAGTTAGTTTCTAAATTAGATGTTTTGAGTGTATTTAAAATTAGGCCAACTACTTCATTCACTTCAAACCCATTACATAATACTAGTATTTAAGAAAAATGGTAAAATTAAAAGATTGCAAATATGTTAAATAACAATTCTACTGATCTAGAAATGGAAAGTAACTGATTTTCATCCTAATTAAGATCAAGAATATCAAAAAAAAGCCATTTGAATAGTCCTAGATCAGAAAAATCATGACCTGTTAAACTTTTAAAAGATAAATTTCTGCTTTCGATCTACTAAAAAATGTGAAAGAGGATTTTCAACAACGAACTTGTTAAAAATCAATGTTCAGATACAGGATAACAAACAACATCCGAACGACTGCATGGATTTAGCCATAACATCGCATGTACCAGAGGGAAAGAAAAACTCGCAGAAGAAATGCAGTGTACAAATTATAACATTCAAGCATTTCTAGTGGAAATAAAGTTAATATAAAACAAGAATTACCAGCCACAGATGTCTTTTTGCTCTGCATTATTTCTCCGTTCTTTTCATCTTCGTTCTTTTTCTTTCATGATATCATGTTCTGCAATCCAAGAGTGCACAAAAATGATGACAAATTACACTAGAAGAGGCCAAGGGGGGAAAAAGGAATCATTAGATTTTAACTACTTTGAAATTAAAGAATAATTATACACAAAGAGAAATATCTAATATTGTTTCTTAATATATAAAACTTCAAAAGTAGCCTTCTTTGTTTTAAATTCTAGCAATGTGCTACATTGTTACTAAAATCATGACTGCAGTCGATAGAAAAGCAAATGATTTTCCTAATACGACAGAAGTACAGTAAGCGAAGGGGGTTTTTAATGTATGGGTACAACATGAACAATGAAAGAAAAAAAATTAGACAGTTATTACGGATACACAGAATAAAAAGGGATAATGATCTTCGAGAAGAGTAAATAATTTCAGCGCTGGTAGAAAGATGGCACCAAAAGACAATAAGCAGGTAATTTTAAATGACAAATAAACAAAATAAACTTTACTGTTAGCTTTGAAGCAGGTGTTATATATTAAACTATCTTAATTCACACACAGAATTAGTGACATAACAGATCAAAAAAGAGTAAGAATCAAACTCGCAATATATTAACATTAAAAGAGCTATACATATATATACTTTTTATAGATTTTTTTTTTTAGAAAGGGCTCAAAAACACCATTCTAAAAACAGATTTCGAAGAACATCTTGGAAACAAAAGTCATAAACCATAAAAGAAATATTTCATTCAGAATTTTAACGTAAGAACCGTTTCTAATTTTAAGTTCTTTACTTAGGTACTCTGTCATCCATGAGAGAGGAACGCTTAGTCCAATGTACAAGAAATTATCCTGAAATATTACCACGTCACTTTAATGAAATTATAGCAATATTTCACTCAGGGAAAGAACATATTGTCTAGCTGCCCGGGTTCGAGCCCAGCTTTAATACATCAAGCTAAAACACATCAAATGCCATTGAATGATACAGCATTTTGAAATGATGCAAAAAATTTAAATGCAATTTCGTGGGAGAGCAATTGTAATTACCTACATACTAAAATTTTGACCAAAAATTAAAGAAAACTAAGATATTCTTTTTCTTTCGAAGGAATCAAAGCCATATACTAATATAGGGATGCTCAACGTATTGTACTATAAAACCTAAACATAGGAATGAAATTTTCTCAGCTATGTGAGATATCCAATAAAGAGAAATTCCGTAAATTGTAGAATAGAACCTACGTCTGAAAACAGACGAAAGGTAAAACATAATTCAAATACTTTACTTTTAGCCTTGAAGCAGGTGTATTCTACATTAAACTGTTAATTCACATACAGAATTATTAATAATATAATAGCTCAAAATATTGTAAGAACCAAACATGCATTATAAAAACATTAAAAAAACTCTATATACATTTATTAGTGTTACAGAATGAGGGTTTATTCTGAAATATTATAAGGTCACTTTCAATGAAATGATAGAAATTTTCACTCAGGGAAGGGACATTCTGTCTGGCTGCCTAGGTTCTATCCCAGCTTCTGTTACAAAAGTTTCATAGAATTTTAAAAATTCAGAAACGAAACTTATGAAGAAATTATTGAACATACCTGGTTCTATGATTTAGCCATTTTACAGACATAATAACTAAATCTTAAACTTGAGGGGGAGGAGAGAACTAAACTAAAGTCTTTGAATTAAAGGGTATTATAAATTCATTTTAAATCAAATTAATTTTGTGAAAAGATTACACAAATATAAGGAATATACATTTTTACCATAATGTAATGTACGTTTTGCCACTTTGAAAATCTCGAGAACTAAAGCGTGAAATATAAGAAAACTGAAACAAACATTTGGAAAATCTCATCGAGCTTAAGTTAGTTTCTAAATTAGATGTTTTGAGTGTATTTAAAATTAGGCCAACTACTTCATTCACTTCAAACCCATTACATAATACTAGTATTTAAGAAAAATGGTAAAAGATTGCAAATATGTTAAATAAACAATTCTACTGATCTAGAAATGGAAATAACTGATTTTCATCCTAATTAAGATCAAGAATATCACAAAAAGCCATTTGAATAGTCCTAGATCAAAAAATCATGAACCTGTTAAACTTTTAAAAAGATAAATTTCTGCTTTCGATCTACTTAAAAAATGTGAAAGAGGATTTTCAACAACGAACTTGTTAAAAAATCAATGTTCAGATACAGGATAACAAACAAACATCCGAACGACTGCATGGATTTAGCCATAACGCATGTACCAGAGGGAAAGAAAAACTCGCAGAAGAAATGCAGTGTACAAATTATAACATTCAAGCATTTCTAGTGGAAATAAAGTTAATATAAAACAAGAATTACCAGCCACAGATGTCTTTTTGCTCTGCACTATTTCTCCGTTCTTTTCAACTCTTCGTTTTTTCTTTGATGATATCATGTTCTGCAATCCAAGAGTGCACAAAAATGATGACAAATTACACTAGAAGAGGCCAAGGGGGGGAAAAGGAATCATTAGATTTTAACTACTTTGAAATTAAAGAATAATTATACACAAAGAGAAATATCTAATATTGTTTCTTAATATATAAAACTTCAAAAGTAGCCTTCTTTGTTTTTTAAATTCTAGCAACGTGCTACATTGTTACTAAAATCATGACTGCAGTCGATAGAAAAGCAAATGATTTTCCTAATATGACAGAAGTACAGTAAAGCGAAGGGGGTTTTTAATGTATGGGTACAACATGAACAATGAAAGAAAAAAAATTAGACAGTTATTACGGATACACAGAATAAAAGGGATAATGATCTTCGAGAAGAGTAAATAATTTCAGCGCTAGTAGAAAGATGGCACCAAAAGACAATAAGCAGGTAATTTTAAATGACAAAATAAACAAAATAAACTTTACTGTTAGCTTTGAAGCAGGTGTTATATATTAAACTATCTTAATTCACACACAGAATTAGTGACATAACAGATCAAAAAAGAGTAAGAATCAAACTCGCAATATATTAACATTAAAAGAGTTATACATATATATACTTTTTAGATTTTTTTTTTTAGAAAGGGCTCAAAAAACACCATTCTAAAAACAGATTTCGAAGAACATCTTGGAAACAAAAGTCATAAACCATAAAAGAAATATTTCATTCAGAATTTTAACGTAAGAACCGTTTCTAATTTTTAAGTTCTTTACTTAGGTACTCTGTCATCCAGGAGAGAGGAACACTTAGTCCAATGTACAAGAAATTATCCTGAAATATTACCACGTCACTTTAATGAAATTATAGCAATATTTCACTCAGGGAAAGAACATATTGTCTAGCTGCCCGGGTTCGAGCCCAGCTTTAATACAGCAAGCCAAAACACATCAAATGCCATTGAATGATACAGCATTTTGAAATGATGCAAAAAATTTAAATGCAATTTCATGGAAGAGCTATTGTAATTACCTACATACTAAAATTTTGACCAAAAATTAAAGAAAACTAAGATACTCTTTTTCTTTCGAAGGAATCAAAGTCATATACTAATGTAGGGATGCTCAACGTATTGTACTATAAAACCTAAACATAGGAATGAAATTTTGTCAGCTATGTGAGATGTCCAATAAAGAGAAATTCCGTAAATTGTAGAATAGAACCTACGTCTGAAAACAGACGAAAGGTAAAACATAATTCAAATACTTTACTTTTAGCCTTGAAGCAGGTATTCTACATTTAAACTGTTAATTCACATACAGAATTAATTAATATAATATATAAAGCTCAAAATATTGTAAGAACAAAACACGCATTACATAAACATTAAAAAAAATCTATATACATTTATTAGTGTTACGAGGGTTTATTCTGAAAAATATTATAAGGTCACTTTCAAATGAAATGATAGAAATTTTCACTCAGGGAAGGGAACATTTCTGTCTGGCTGCCTAGGTTGAATCCCAGCTTTGTTACAAAAAGTTTCATAGAAGAATTTTAAAAATCCAGAACAGAAAAAGAAACGAAATTATGAAGAAATTATTGAACATACCTGGTTCTATGATTTAGCCATTCTTACAGACATAATAAACTAAATCTTAAACTTGAGGGGGAGGAGAGAACTAAACTAAAGTCTTTGAATTAAAGGTATTATAAATTCATTTTAAATCAAATTAATTTTGTGAAAATATTACACAAATATAAGGAATATACATTTTTTACCATAATGTAATGTACGTTTTGCCACTTTGAAAATCTCGAGAACTAAAGCGTGAAATATAAAAAACTGAAACAAACATTTGGAAAATCTCATCGAGCTTAATTAGTTTCTAAATTAGATGTTTTGAGTGTATTTAAAAATTAGGCCAACAACTTCATTCACTTCAAACCCATTACATAATACTAGTATTTAAGAAAAATGGTAAAAGATTAAATATGTTAAATAACAATTCTACTGATCTAGAAATAAACTGAATTAAATCAAGAATATCACAAAAAGCCATTTGAATTCCCAAAAAAATCAAAAAAAACGGTACAAATTATAACATTCAAGCATTTCTAGTGGAAATAAAGTTAATATAAAACAAGAATTACCAGCCACAGATGTCTTTTTGCTCTGCACTATTTCTCCGTTCTTTCATCTTCGTTCTTTTTCTTTCATGATATCATGTTCTGCAATCCAAGAGTGCACAAAAATGATGACAAATTACACTAGAAGAGGCCAAAAGGGGAAAAAAGGAATCATTAGATTTTAACTACTTTGAAATTAAAGAATAATTATACACAAAGAGAAATATCTAATATTGTTTCTTAATATATAAAACTTCAAAAGTAGCCTTCTTTGTTTTAAATTCCAGCAATGTGCTACATTGTTACTAAAATCATGACTGCAGTCGATAGAAAAGCAAATGATTTTCCTAATACGACAGAAGTACAGTAAGCGAAAGGGGGTTTTTAATGTATGGGTACAACATGAACAATAAAAAAGAAAAAAAATTAGACAGTTATTACGGATACACAGAATAAAAGGGATAATGATCTTCGAGAAGAGTAAATAAATAATTTCAGCGCTGGTAGAAAGATGGCACCAAAAGACAATAAGCAGGTAATTTTAAATGACAAATAAACAAAATAAACTTTACTGTTAGCTTTGAAGCAGGTGGTGTTATATATTAAACTATCTTAATTCACACACAGAATTAGTGACATAACAGATCAAAAAAAGAGTAAGAATCAAACTCGCATATATTAACATTAAAAGAGCTATACATATATACTTTTAAAGATTTTTTTTTTTTTAAAAAAAGGGCTCAAAAAACACCATTCTAAAAACAGATTTCGAAGAACATCTTGGAAACAAAAGTCATAAACCATAAAAGAAATATTTCATTCAGAATTTTAACGTAAGAACCGTTTCTAATTTTAAGTTCTTTACTTAGGTACTCTCATCCATGAGAGAGGACAGCTTAGTCCAATGTACAAGAAATTATCCTGAAATATTACCACGTCACTTTAATGAAATTATAGCAATATTTCACTCAGGGAAAAAAAAAGACATATTGTCTAGCTGCCCGGGTTCGAGCCCAGCTTTAATACAGCAAGCCAAAAACACATCAAATGCCATTGAATGATACAGCATTTTGAAAATGCAAAAAATTTAAATGCAATTTCGTGGAAGAGCTATTGCAATTACCTACATACTAAAATTTTGACCAAAAATTCAAGAAAACTAAGATACTCTTTTTTCTTTCGAAGGAATCAAAGTCATATACTAATGTAGGGATGCTCAACTTATTGTACTATAAAACCTAAACATAGGAATGAAATTTTGTCAGCTATGTGAGATGTCCAATACCGAGAAATTCCGTAAATTGTAGAATAGAACCTGCGTCTGAAAACAGACGAAAGGTAAAACATTAATTCAAATACTTTACTTTTAGCCTTGAAGCAGGTGTTCTATATTAAACTGTCTTAATTCACATACAGAATTAGTAATATAATAGCTCAAAATATTTGTAAGAACCAAACACGCATTATATAAACATTAAAAAAAAAAATCTATATACATTTATTAGTGTTACGAGGGTTTATTCTGAAATATTATAATGTCACTTTCAGTGAAATGATAGAAATTTTCACTCAGGGAAGGGACATTCTGTCTGGCTGCCTGGGTTCCATCCCAGCTTCTGTTACAAAAGTTTCATAGAAGAATTTTAAAAATCCAGAAACGAAACTTACGAAGAAATTATTGAACATACCTGGTTCTATCATTTAGCCATTCTTACAGACATAGTAACTAAATCTTAAATTTGAGGGGGGACAAGAGAACTAAAGTCTTTGAATTAAAGGGTATTATAAATTCATTTTAAATCAAAATTAATTTTGTGAAAATATTACACAAATATAAGGAATATACATTTTTACCATAATGTAATGTACGTTTTGCCAATTTGAAAATCTGGAGAACTAAAGTGTGAAATATAAGAAAACTGAAACAATCATTTGGAAAATCTCATCGAGCTTAAATTAGTTTCTAAATTAGATGTTTTGAGTGTATTTAAAATTAGGCCAACTACTTCATTCACTTCAAACCCATTACATAATACTAGTATTTAAGAAAAATGGTAAAAGATTGCAAATATGTTAAATAACAATTCTACTGATCTAGAAATGGAAATAACTGATTTTCATCCTAATTAAGATCAAGAATATCACAAAAAGCCATTTGAATAGTCCTAGATCAGAAAAATCATGAACTGTTAAACTTTTAAAAAGATAAATTCCTGCTTTCGATCTACTTAAAAATGTGAAAGAGGATTTTCAACAACTGAACTTGTTAAAATCAATGTTCAGATACAGGATAACAAACAAAACATCCAACGACTGCATGGATTTAGCCATAACATCGCATGTACCAGAGGGAAAAAAAAAAAAACTCTCAGAAGAAATGCAGTGTTAAATTTCACATTAAAATATGATTTCCCTGTATTTAATTTTCATCTTGCTGAATTTTTTGTAAATAATACAAAGAGTATACCTTTTCTTTAACATATTATACCACACATTTTTATACTTTGTGTAATGCACTTATAACTGAAATATTAAAAGTGCAATATATAATTGCAGCTAGCCAAAATTTTATAAACTTAAAATTGGCTCCCATTAAGTTAAAGTTGCACATAACTGCACCAAGGGAAGGAATGCAATTTTATTTCTTTGTCTGTATTTGGTTTCATTTTCATATAGAAAGAGTTAAAAATAGGGTTATCTAGGTAACAAAATTTAAACACACATTTTCAGTAAAAATTACAGAATAACAGATTTTGTTTCCCTGAAGACGCAACACCTCGCTATTCCAGCTATGATACAGACTGCATACTGTCAGAGAGAAATTCCTTTCTTAAACAGGGAATCCATATACTTTAATCTGTTTTGACACAAGTACTGTTTATGACTAATCCATGGTCCAGGAGTAAAATACTTTATAGTAACCCATCTAAATTTTTATTATTTCCGGTCATCTGTATAGACTGTTTACCTATCACGACTAAACTCCCAATCTGCATTCCACATAACCTCATACGATTCTTCAAGTCACGTTTCGTAGTCTATCATTTTTAATACGGCAGGTACTTGCTGAGCGCAGACTTGTAAAGCGTGATTTCGCGTATAGCAGTACCTTAAAGGATTCCATTTAATTTGTCCACTGCTAGAATTTCATTCATACGTGGTTCAACATTCATCCATCAACACCGGAAAGAATTTATCTGCTACTTTAAACAATTTCCATCGACTGAAAATGAAGTCCAAAAAATCTTACAAATCTCAAAAGCAAAGGATGCCGAAGAATTTTCACATATGGAAGACAGAGAAGTCAAACAATGAATCAGAAAATTACAAAAGAAGAATTGGGTGCTTATAAAACCCCTTGATAATAAAAGCGCTCATTACAAAAAAAGAGCTTTTAACTGAAGATAAGATGAAGGAATTGTTAAATAACACAAAAGCAATGTCTGATCTTCTAGCGGAGAATTGACCCAAATATTAAGAAAAAACGGACACTTTAAAAGAGCTACTGGGAAACATGTGCTCTTTACAGCGACACGGTTACAGTTGCATCAGTCATTCTTATAAGCAAAAGACATCAGCTTTTTCAAAAAATAATTCTGTCATGTATTTGCCAAGAGAACGGAAAGAAGTCCAAAAGAAACTTTCAGAGTGCTTTTCAAAACAAAGTTGAAAGTTATCTGCAGAATTTTACTTCGATAATAATAATAAAACATCTCTGATTTGATTTCAAAATGAATTTTTATTTATGGAATCAATTTTAAATAGATCTTCGCAAATTGGTTCATAAAACTTCCACAATATGCCAAAATAGTTCAGATTAAGGGAAAAATATAATAAAGTATGCTTAAAACAACTAAGAAAAAGCACATTTTGAGCAGCCTTAACAGAAGACAATTTGGCTCCACTAACTTTCTTTACGACGAGTACTCATTAAATTTTTATTTACATTTCTTTTTTGTTCAACATTTAACTTTCAATGGTTTTAAGAGAAAACAGCACTTGATAGAGAGACTCTAAATTCGGAAAAAAACTGAAACAAAATTGGTTTATACACAGGCAGTGCAATTACACTGACCTGTTGGGAAGAGAAGACCCCGTTGGACAGGGAAAATATTAGGCCACACAGAGAGGAAAATGTTTAGCCTCCTCCTCGTAATGCGAAAGGAGGCCACTTGGGAAAAAAATTACACTACAGCAGTAATTTTGAAACCACTACGAAGCAACAGAACTCTAACAAATCTCAGACTTCTGATAATTATAGTGTGATTAACAGTTCAACCTCACTTCGAATATTACAATACAATATAAAGAAAGCACCAATTCAGACACTTCAATATGGAATTCAAAACCTAAGAAATTAATGCATAAATGCTACCCTAAACATTAAAACATAATGTGAAGCGTTCATGTAAAATAAATAACTAGTAAAACTCCAATATAAAGCAACATGTGAAAAGGGACGGACAAATTATAACATTCAAGCATTTCTAGTGGAAATAAAGTTAATATAAAACAAGAATTACCAGCCACAGATGTCTTTTTGCTCTGCACTATTTCTGTTCTTTCATCATCGTTCTTTTTCTTTCACGATATCATGTTCTGCAATCCAAGAGTGCACAAAAATGATGACAAATTACACTAGAAGAGGCCAAGGGGGAAAAGGAATCATTAGGGGGAAAAGGAAAGAATAATTACTTTGAATTTAATAATTAAAGAAAATTATACTAATATTGTTTCTTAATATATATCTTCAAAAGTTCTTAGCTTCTTTTGTTTTAAATTCCAGCAATGTGCTACATTGTTACTAAAATCATGACTGCAGTCGATAGAAAAGCAAATGATTTTCCTAATACGACAGAAGTACAGTAAGCGAAAGGGGTTTTTAATGTATGGGTACAACATGAACAATGAAAGAAAAAAAAATTTAGACAGTTATTACGGGATAATGATCTTCGAGAAGAGTAAATAATTTCAGCGCTGGTAGAAAGATGGCACCAAAAGACAATAAGCAGGTAATTTTAAATGACAAATAAACAAAATAAACTTTACTGTTAGCTTTGAAGCAGGTGTTATATATTAAACTATCTTAATTCACACACAGAATTAGTGACATAACAGATCAAAAAAGAGTAAGAATCAAACTCGCAATATATTAACATTAAAAGAGCTATACATATATACTTTTAAAGATTTTTTTTTTTTTTAAGGGCTCAAAAACACCATTCTAAAAACAGATTTCGAAGAACATCTTGGAAACAAAAGTCATAAACCATAAAAGAAATATTTCATTCAGAATTTTAACGTAAGAACCGTTTCTAATTTTAAGTTCTTTACTTAGGTACACTCATCCATGAGAGAGGACAGCTTAGTCCAATGTACAAGAAATTATCCTGAAATATTACCAGGTCACTTTAATGAAATTATAGCAATATTTCACTCAGGGAAAGAACATATTGTCTAGCTGCCCGGGTTCGAGCCCAGCTTTAATACAGCAAGCCAAAACACATCAAATGCCATTGAATGATACAGCATTTTGAAATGTTGCAAAAAATTTAAATGCAATTTCGTGGAAGAGCTATTGCAATTACCTACATACTAAAATTTTGACCAAAAATTCAAGAAAACTAAGATACTCTTTTTTCTTTCGAAGGAATCAAAGTCATATACTAATGTAGGGATGCTCAACTTATTGTACTATAAAACCTAAACATAGGAATGAAATTTTGTCAGCTATGTGAGATGTCCAATACCGAGAAATTCCGTAAATTGTAGAATAGAACCTACGTCTCTGAAAACAGACGAAAGGTAAAACACAATTCAAATACTTTACTTTTAGCCTTGAAGCAGGTGTTCTATATTAAACTGTCTTAATTCACATACAGAATTAGTAATATAATAGCTCAAAATATTGTAAGAACCAAACACGCATTATATAAACATTAAAAAAAAATCTATATACATTTATTAGTGTTACGAGGGTTTATTCTGAAATATTATAATGTCACTTTCAAGTGAAATGATAGAAATTTTCACTCAGGGAAGGGACATTCTGTCTGGCTGCCTGGGTTCCATCCCAGCTTCTGTTACAAAAGTTTCATAGAAGAATTTTAAAAATCCAGAAACGAAACTTATGAAGAAATTATTGAACCATAATCCTGGTTCTATGATTTAGTCATTCTTACAGACATAATAACTAAAATCTTAAACTTGAGGGGGGAGAGAACTAAAGTCTTTGAATTAAAGGGTTTAAATTCATTTTAAATCAAAATTAATTTTGTGAAAATATTACACAAATATAAGGAATATACATTTTTACCATAATGTAATGTACGTTTTGCCACTTTGAAAATCTGGAGAACTAAAGCGTGAAATATAAGAAAACTGAAACAAACATTTGGAAAATCTCATCGAGCTTAAATTAGTTTCTAAATTAGATGTTTTGAGTGTATTTAAAATTAGGCCAACTACTTCATTCACTTCAAACCCATTACATAATACTAGTATTTAAGAAAAATGGTAAAAGATTGCAAATATGTTAAATAACAATTCTACTGATCTAGAAATGGAAATAACTGATTTTCATCCTAATTAAGATCAAGAATATCACAAAAAGCCATTTGAATAGTCCTAGATCAGAAAAATCATGAACTGTTAAACTTTTAAAAAGATAAATTCCTGCTTTCGATCTACTTAAAAATGTGAAAGAGGATTTTCAACAACTGAACTTGTTAAAATCAATGTTCAGATACAGGATAACAAACAAACATCCAACGACTGCATGGATTTAGCCATAACATCGCATGTACCAGAGGGAAAAAAAAAAAAACTCTCAGAAGAAATGCAAGTGTTAAATTTCACATTAAAATATGATTTCCCTGTATTTAATTTTCATCTTGCTGAATTTTTTGTAAATAATACAAAGAGTATACCTTTTCTTTAACATATTATACCACACATTTTTATACTTTTGTGTAATGCACTTTATAACTGAAATATTAAAAGTGCAATATATAATTGCAGCTAGCCAAAATTTTATAAACTTAAAATTGGCTCCCATTAAGTTAAAGTTGTTAATAACTGCACCAAGGGAAGATCGCAATTTTATTTCTTTGTCTGTATTTGGTTTCATTTTCATATAGAAAGAGTTAAAAAAAAGGTTATCTAGGTAACAAAATTTAAACACACATTTTCAGTAAAAATTACAGAATAACAGATTTTGTTTCCCTGAAGACACAACACCTCGCTATTCCAGCTATGATACAGACTGCATACTGTCAGAGAGAAATTCCTTTCTTAAACAGGGAATTCATATACTTTAATCTGTTTTTACACAAGTACTGTTTATGACTAATCCATGGTCCAGGAGTAAAATACTTTATAGTAACCCATCTAAATTTTTATTATTTCCGGTCATCTGTATAGACTGTTTACCTATCACGACTAAACTCCCAATCTGCATTCCACATAACTCATATGATTCTTCAAGTCACGTTTCGTAGTCTATCATTTTTAATACGGCAGGTACTTGCTGAGCGCAGACTTGTAAAGCGTGATTTCGCGTATAGCAGTACCTTAAAGGATTCCATTTAATTTGTCCACTGCTAGAATTTCATTCATACGTGGTTCAACATTCATCCATCAACACCGGAAAGAATTTATCTGCTACTTTAAACAATTTCCATCGAAAACAATTTCCATCGACTGAAAATGAAGTTTAAAAAATCTTACAAATCTCAAAAGCAAAGAATGCCGAAGAATTTTCACATATGGAAGACAGAGAAGTCAAACAATGAATCAGAAAATTACAAAAGAAGAATTGGGTGCTTATAAAACCCCTTGATAATAAAAGCGCTCATTACGAAGAAGAGCTTTTAACTGAAGATAAGATGAAGGAATTGTTAAATAACACAAAAGCAATGTCTGATCTTCTAGCGGAGAATTGACCCAATTAAAAAAAAACAGGACACTTTAAAAGAGCTACTGGGAAACATGTGCTCTTTACAGCGACACGGTTACAGTTGCATCAGTCATTCTTATAAGCAAAAGACATCAGCTTTTTCAAAAAATAATTCTGTCATGTATTTGCCAAAGAGAACGAAAAAGAAGTCCAAAAGAAACTTTCAGAGTGCTTTTGCAAAACAAAGTTGAAAGTTAATCTGCAGAATTTTACTTCGATAATAATAAAACATCTCTGATTTGATTTCAAAATGAATTTTTATTTATGTGAAATCAATTTTAAATAGATCTTCGCAAATTGGTTCATAAAACTTCACAATATGCCAAAATAGTTCAGATTAAGGGAAAAATATAATAAAGTATGCTTAAAACAACTAAGAAAAAGCACATTTTGAGCAGCCTTAACAGAAGACAATTTGGCTCCACTAACTTTCTTTACGAGTACTCATTAAATTTTTATTTACATTTTTTTTTGTTCAACATTTAACTTTCAATGGTTTTAAGAGAAACAGCACTTGATAGAGAGACTCTAAATTCGGAAAAAACTGAAACAAAATTGGTTTATACACAGGCAGTGCAATTACACTGACCTGTTGGGAAGAGAAGACCCCGTTGGACAGGGAAAATATTAGGCCACACAGAGAGGAAAATGTTTAGCCTCCTCCTCGTAATGCGAAAGGAGGCCACTTGGGAAAAAATTACACTACAGCAGTAATTTTGAAACCACTACGAAGCAACAGAACTCTAACAAATCTCAGACTTCTGATAATTATAGTGTGATTAACAGTTCAACCTCACTTCGAATATTACAATACAATATAAAGAAAGCACCAATTCAGACACTTCAATATGGAATTCAAAACCTAAGAAATTAATGCATAAATGCTACCCTAAACATTAAAACATAATGTGAAGCGTTCATGTAAAATAAATAACTAGTAAAACTCCAATATAAAGCAACATGTGAAAAGGGACCTACAAATTATAACATTCAAGCATTTCTAGTGGAAATAAAGTTAATATAAAACAAGAATTACCAGCCACAGATGTCTTTTTGCTCTGCACTATTCTCGTTCTTTTCATCTTCGTTCTTTTTCTTTCATGATATCATGTTCTGCAATCCAAGAGTGCACAAAAATGATGACAAATTACACTAGAAGAGGCCAAGGGGGGAAGGAATCATTAGATTTTAACTACTTTGTAAAGAATAATTATACACAAAGAGAAATATCTAAATGAAAATGGAAAAAGAATAGGAAAAAAAAAGAAAAAGGAATCATTAGAAACTTTAAAATTAAATATAATATTGAATATAACAAAGTAAAGAATATCAATATAATAAAGAGAATATTAAAAATTTCTTCTTTGCTTTTAAACTTTAAATTCCAGCAATGTGCTACATTGTTACTAAAATCATGACTGCAGTCGATAGAAAAGCAAATGATTTCCCTAATACGACAGAAGTACAGTAAGCAAAAGGGGTTTTTAATGTATGGGTACAACATGAACAATGAAAGAAAAAAAATTTAGACAGTTATTACGGATAATGATCTTCGAGAAGAGTAAATAATTTCAGCGCTGGTAGAAAGATGGCACCAAAAGACAATAAGCAGGTAATTTTAAATGACAAATAAACAAAATAAACTTTACTGTTAGCTTTGAAGCAGGTGTTATATATTAAACTATCTTAATTCACACACAGAATTAGTGACATAACAGATCAAAAAAGAGTAAGAATCAAACTCGCAATATATTAACATTAAAAGAGCTATACATATATACTTTTAAAGATTTTTTTTTTTTTAAAAAGGGCTCAAAAACACCATTCTAAAAACAGATTTCGAAGAACATCTTGGAAAAAAAAGTCATAAACCATAAAAGAAATATTTCATTCAGAATTTTAACGTAAGAACCGTTTCTAATTTTAAGTTCTTTACTTAGGTACTCTCATCCATGAGAGAGGACAGCTTAGTCCAATGTACAAGAAATTATCCTGAAATATTACCACGTCACTTTAATGAAATTATAGCAATATTTCACTCAGGGAAAGAACATATTGTCTAGCTGCCCGGGTTCGAGCCCAGCTTTAATACAGCAAGCCAAAACACATCAAATGCCATTGAATTAAACAGCATTTTGAAATGTCGCAAAAAATTTAAATGCAATTTCGTGGAAGAGCTATTGCAATTACCTACATACTAAAATTTTGACCAAAAATTCAAGAAAACTAAGATACTCTTTTTTTCTTTCGAAGGAATCAAAGTCATATACTAATGTAGGGATGCTCAACTTATTGTACTATAAAACCTAAACATAGGAATGAAATTTTGTCAGCTATGTGAGATGTCCAATACCGAGAAATTCCGTAAATTGTAGAATGTAGAATAGAACCTGCGTCTGAAAACACACGAAAGGTAAAACAATTCAAATACTTTACTTTTAGCCTTGAAGCAGGTGTTCTATATTAAACTGTCTTAATGCACATACAGAATTAGTAATATAATAGCTCAAAATATTGTAAGAACCAAACACGCATTATATAAACATTAAAAAAAAGTCTATATACATTTATTAGTGTTACGAGGGTTTATTCTGAAATATTATAATGTCACTTTCAGTGAAATGATAGAAATTTTCACTCAGGGAAGGGACATTCTGTCTGTCTGCCTGGGTTCCATCCCAGCTTCTGTTACAAAAGTTTCATAGAAGAATTTTAAAAATCCAGAAATGAAACTTACGAAGAAATTATTGAACATACCTGGTTCTATGATTTAGTCATTCTTACAGACATAATAACTAAAATCTTAAACTTGAGGGGGGAGAGAACTAAAGTCTTTGAATTCAAGGGTATTTTAAATCAAAATTAATTTTGTGAAAATATTACACAAATATAAGGGATATACATTTTTACCATAATGTAATGTACGTTTTACCACTTTGAAAATCTGGAGAACTAAAGCGTGAAATATAAGAAAACTGAAACAAACATTTGGAAAATCTCATCGAGCTTAAATTAGTTTCTAAATTAGATGTTTTGAGTGTATTTAAAATTAGGCCAACTACTTCATTCACTTCAAACCCATTACATAATACTAGTATTTAAGAAAAATGGTAAAAGATTGCAAATATGTTAAATAACAATTCTACTGATCTAGAAATGGAAATAACTGATTTTCATCCTAATTAAGATCAAGAATATCACAAAAAGCCATTTGAATAGTCCTAGATCAGAAAAATCATGAACTGTTAAACTTTTAAAAAGATAAATTCCTGCTTTCGATCTACTTAAAAATGTGAAAGAGGATTTTCAACAACGAACTTGTTAAAATCAATGTTCAGATACAGGATAACAAACAAACATCCGAACGACTGCATGGATTTAGCCATAACATCGCATGTACCAGAGGGAAAAAAAAAAAAACTCTCAGAAGAAATGCAGTGTTAAATTTCACATTAAAATATGATTTCCCTGTATTTAATTTTCATCTTGCTGAATTTTTTGTAAATAATACAAAGAGTATACCTTTTCTTTAACATATTATACCACACATTTTTATACTTTGTGTAATGCACTTTATAACTGAAATATTAAAAGTGCAATATATAATTGCAGCTAGCCAAAATTTTATAAACTTAAAATTGGCTCCCATTAAGTTAAAGTTGTGAATAACTGCACCAAGGGAAGGAATGCAATTTTATTTCTTTGTCTGTATTTGGTTTCATTTTCATATAGAAAGAGTTAAAAATAGGTTATCTAGGTAACAAAATTTAAACACACATTTTCAGTAAAAATTACAGAATAACAGATTTTGTTTCCCTGAAGACGCAACACCTCGCTATTCCAGCTATGATACAGACTGCATACTGTCAGAGAGAAATTCCTTTCTTAAACAGGGAATTCATATACTTTAATCTGTTTTTACACAAGTACTGTTTATGACTAATCCATGGTCCAGGAGTAAAATACTTTATAGTAACCCATCTAAATTTTTATTATTTCCGGTCATCTGTATAGACTGTTTACCTATCACGACTAAACTCCCAATCTGCATTCCATAACCTCATATGATTCTTCAAGTCACGTTTCGTAGTCTATCATTTTTAATACGGCAGGTACTTGCTGAGCGCAGACTTGTAAAGCGTGATTTCGCGTATAGCAGTACCTTAAAGGATTCCATTTAATTTGTCCACTGCTAGAATTTCATTCATACGTGGTTCAACATTCATCCATCAACACCGGAAAGAATTTATCTGCTACTTTAAACAATTTCCATCGACTGAAAATGAAGCCCAAAAAAATCTTACAAACCTCAAAAGCAAAGGATGCCGAAGAATTTTCACATATGGAAGATAGAGAAGTCAAACAATGAATCAGAAAATTACAAAAGAAGAATTGGGTGCTTATAAAACCCCTTGATAATAAAAGCGCTCATTACGAAGAAGAGCTTTTAACTGAAGATAAGATGAAGGAATTGTTAAATAACACAAAAGCAATGTCTGATCTTCTAGCGGAGATTGACCCAATTAAAGAAAAAAACAGGACACTTTAAAAGAGCTACTGGGAAACATGTGCTCTTTACAGCGACACGGTTACAGTTGCATCAGTCATTCTTATAAGCAAAAGACATCAGCTTTTTCAAAAAATAATTCTGTCATGTATTTGCCAAGAGAACGGAAAGAAGTCCAAAAGAAACTTTCAGAGTGCTTTGCAAAACAAAGTTGAAAGTTAATCTGCAGAATTTTACTTCGATAATAATAAAACATCTCTGATTTGATTTCAAAATGAATTTTTATTTATGGAATCAATTTTAAATAGATCTTCGCAAATTGGTTCATAAAACTTCACAATATGCCAAAATAGTTCAGATTAAGGAAAAAATATAATAATGTATGCTTAAAACAACTACGAAAAAGCACATTTTGAGCAGCCTTAACAGAAGACAATTTGGCTCCACTAACTTTCTTTACGAGTACTCATTAAATTTTTATTTACATTTTTTTTGTTCAACATTTAACTTTGAATGGTTTTAAGAGAAACCGCACTTGATAGAGAGACTCTAAATTCGGAAAAAAACTGAAACAAAATTGGTTTATACACAGGCAGTGCAATTACACTGACCTGTTGGGAAGAGAAGACCCCGTTGGACAGGGAAAATATTAGGCCACACAGAGAGGAAAATGTTTAGCCTCCTCCTCGTAATGCGAAAGGAGGCCACTTGGGAAAAAATTACACTACAGCAGTAATTTTGAAACCACTACGAAGCAACAGAACTCTAACAAATCTCAGACTTCTGATAATTATAGTGTGATTAACAGTTCAACCTCACTTCGAATATTACAATACAATATAAAGAAAGCACCAATTCAGACACTTCAATATGGAATTCAAAACCTAAGAAATTAATGCATAAATGCTACCCTAAACATTAAAACATAATGTGAAGCGTTCATGTAAAATAAATAACTAGTAAAACTCCAATATAAAGCAACATGTGAAAAGGGACGTACAAATTATAACATTCAAGCATTTCTAGTGGAAATAAAGTTGATATAAAACAAGAATTACCAGCCACAGATGTCTTTTTGCTCTGCACTATTTCTCCGTTCTTTTCATCTTCGTTCTTTTTCTTTCACGATATCATGTTCTGCAATCCAAGAGTGCACAAAAATGATGACAAATTACACTAGAAGAGGCCAAGGGGGGAAAAAAGGAATCATTAGATTTTAACTACTTTGAATTAAAGAATAATTATACACAAAGAGAAATATCTAATATTGTTTCTTAATATATAATGTGCATTCAAAGATCAAAAATGATGCAACAAAAAGTGACACAAAAAAAAAGAGGAAAAAAGGAATCAAAAAGGAAATAATTAAAGATTTTAATATTATAACATTAAAGAAGAATATACACAAAGAGAAATATCTAATATTGTTTCTTATATAAAATATAAAACTTCAAAAGTAGCTTCTTTGTTTTAAATTCCAGCAATGTGCTACATTGTTACTAAAATCATGACTGCAGTCGATAGAAAAGCAAATGATTTCCCTAATACGACAGAAGTACAGTAAGCAAAAGGGGTTTTTAATGTATGGGTACAACATGAACAATGAAAGAAAAAAAATTTAGACAGTTATTACGGATAATGATCTTCGAGAAGAGTAAATAATTTCAGCGCTGGTAGAAAGATGGCACCAAAAGACAATAAGCAGGTAATTTTAAATGACAAATAAACAAAATAAACTTTACTGTTAGCTTTGAAGCAGGTGTTATATATTAAAACTATCTTAATTCACACACAGAATTAGTGACATAACAGATCAAAAAAAGAGTAAGAATCAAACTCGCAATATATTAACATTAAAAGAGCTATACATATATACTTTTATAGATTTTTTTTTTTTTTTTAAAGAAAGGGCTCAAAAACACCATTCTAAAAACAGATTTCGAAGAAGAACATCTTGGAAACAAAAGTCATAAACCATAAAAAAATATTTCATTCAGAATTTTAACGTAAGAACCGTTTCTAATTTTAAGTTCTTTACTTCGGTACACTCATCCATGAGAGAGGACAGCTTAGTCCAATGTACAAGAAATTATCCTGAAATATTACCATGTCACTTTAATGAAATTATAGCAATATTTCACTCAGGGAAAGAACATATTGTCTGGCTGCCCGGGTTCAAGCCCAGTTTTAATACAGCAAGCCAAAACGCATCAAATGCCATTGAATTAAACAGCATTTTGAAATGTCGCAAAAAATTTAAATGCAATTTCGTGGAAGAGCTATTGCAATTACCTACATACTAAAATTTTGACCAAAAATTCAAGAAAACTAAGATACTCTTTTTTTCTTTCGAAGGAATCAAAGTCATATACTAATGTAGGGATGCTCAACTTATTGTACTATAAAACCTAAACATAGGAATGAAATTTTGTCAGCTATGTGAGATGTCCAATACCGAGAAATTCCGTAAATTGTAGAATAATTGTAGAATAGAACCTACGTCTGAAAACACACGAAAGGTAAAACATAATTCAAATACTTTACTTTTAGCCTTGAAGCAGGTGTTCTATATTAAACTGTCTTAATTCACATACAGAATTAGTAATATAATAGCTCAAAATATTGTAAGAACCAAACACGCATTATATAAACATTAAAAAAAATCTATATACATTTATTAGTGTTACGAGGGTTTATTCTGAAATATTATAATGTCACTTTCAAGTGAAATGATAGAAATTTTCACTCAGGGAAGGGACATTCTGTCTGGCTGCCTGGGTTCCATCCCAGCTTCTGTTACAAAAGTTTCATAGAAGAATTTTAAAAATCCAGAAACGAAACTTATGAAGAAATTATTGAACATAATTGGTTCTATGATTTAGTCATTCTTACAGACATAATAACTAAAATCTTAAACTTGAGGGGGGAGAGAACTAAAGTCTTTGAATTCAAGGGTATTTTAAATCAAAATTAATTTTGTGAAAATATTACACAAATATAAGGGATATACATTTTTACCATAATGTAATGTACGTTTTTGCCACTTTGAAAATCTGGAGAACTAAAGCGTGAAATATAAGAAAACTGAAACAAACATTTGGAAAATCTCATCGAGCTTAAATTAGTTTCTAAATTAGATGTTTTGAGTGTATTTAAAATTAGGCCAACTACTTCATTCACTTCAAACCCATTACATAATACTAGTATTTAAGAAAAATGGTAAAAGATTGCAAATATGTTAAATAACAATTCTACTGATCTAGAAATGGAAATAACTGATTTTCATCCTAATTAAGATCAAGAATATCACAAAAAGCCATTTGAATAGTCCTAGATCAGAAAAATCATGAACTGTTAAACTTTTAAAAAGATAAATTCCTGCTTTCGATCTACTTAAAAATGTGAAAGAGGATTTTCAACAACGAACTTGTTAAAATCAATGTTCAGATACAGGATAACAAACAAACATCCGAACGACTGCATGGATTTAGCCATAACATCGCATGTACCAGAGGGAAAAAAAAAAAAACTCTCAGAAGAAATGCAGTGTTAAATTTCACATTAAAATATGATTTCCCTGTATTTAATTTTCATCTTGCTGAATTTTTTGTAAATAATACAAAGAGTATACCTTTTCTTTAAACATATTATACCACACATTTTTATATGTAATGCACTATAACTGAAATATTAAAAGTTGCACATAAACTGCACCAAAGGGAAGGAATGCAATTTTTTATTCTTTGTCTGTATTTGGTTTCATTTTCATATAGAAAGAGTTAAAAATAGGTTATCTAGGTAACAAAATTTAAACACACATTTTCAGTAAAAATTACAGAATAACAGATTTTGTTTCCCTGAAGACGCAACACCTCGCTATTCCAGCTATGATACAGACTGCATACTGTCAGAGAGAAATTCCTTTCTTAAACAGGGAATTCATATACTTTAATCTGTTTTTACACAAGTACTGTTTATGACTAATCCATGGTCCAGGAGTAAAATACTTTATAGTAACCCATCTAAATTTTTATTATTTCCGGTCATCTGTATAGACTGTTTACCTATCACGACTAAACTCCCAATCTGCATTCCACATAACCTCATATGATTCTTCAAGTCATGTTTCGTAGTCTATCATTTTTAATACGGCAGGTACTTGCTGAGCGCAGACTTGTAAAGCGTGATTTCGCATGATTTCGCGTATAGCAGTACCTTAAAGGATTCCATTTAATTTGTCCACTGCTAGAATTTCATTCATACGTGGTTCAACATTCATCCATCAACACCGGAAAGAATTTATCTGCTACTTTAAACAATTTCCATCGACTGAAAATGAAGTCCAAAAAATCTTACAAATCTCAAAAGCAAAGGATGCCGAAGAATTTTCACATATGGAAGACAGAGAAGTCAAACAATGAATCAGAAAATTACAAAAGAAGAATTGGGATCTTATAAAACCCCTTGATAACAAAAGTGCTCATTACGAAGAAGAGCTTTTAACTGAAGATAAGATGAAGGAATTGTTAAATAACACAAAAGCAACGTCTGATCTTCTAGCGGAGAATGACCCAATTAAAGAAAAAAACAGGACACTTTAAAAGAGCTACTGGGAAACATGTGCTCTTTACAGCGACACGGTTACAGTTGCATCAGTCATTCTTATAAGCAAAAGACATCAGCTTTTTCAAAAAATAATTCTGTCATGCATTTGCCAAGAGAACGGAAAAGAAGTCCAAAAGAAACTTTCAGAGTGCTTTTCAAAACAAAGTTGAAAGTTATAATCTGCAGAATTTTACTTCGATAATAATAAAACATCTCTGATTTGATTTCAAAATGAATTTTTATTTATGGAATCAATTTTAAATAGATCTTCGCAAATTGGTTCATAAAACTTCACAATATGCCAAAATAGTTCAGATTAAGGGAAAAATATAATAAAGTATGCTTAAAACAACTAAGAAAAAGCACATTTTGAGCAGCCTTAACAGAAGACAATTTGGCTCCACTAACTTTCTTTACGAGTACTCATTAAATTTTTATTTACATTTCTTTTTTGTTCAACATTTAACTTTCAATGGTTTTAAGAGAAACAGCACTTGATAGAGAGACTCTAAATTCGGAAAAAAACTGAAACAAAATTGGTTTATACACAGGCAGTGCAATTACACTGACCTGTTGGGAAGAGAAGACCCCGTTGGACAGGGAAAATATTAGGCCACACAGAGAGGAAAATGTTTAGCCTCCTCCTCGTAATGCGAAAGGAGGCCACTTGGGAAAAAATTACACTACAGCAGTAATTTTGAAACCACTACGAAGCAACAGAACTCTAACAAATCTCAGACTTCTGATAATTATAGTGTGATTAACAGTTCAACCTCACTTCGAATATTACAATACAATATAAAGAAAGCACCAATTCAGACACTTCAATATGGAATTCAAAACCTAAGAAATTAATGCATAAATGCTACCCTAAACATTAAAACATAATGTGAAGCGTTCATGTAAAATAAATAACTAGTAAAACTCCAATATAAAGCAACATGTGAAAAGGGACCTACAAATTATAACATTCAAGCATTTCTAGTGGAAATAAAGTTAATATAAAACAAGAATTACCAGCCACAGATGTCTTTTTGCTCTGCACTATTCTCCGTTCTTTTCATTTCGTTCTTTTCTTTCATGATATCATGTTCTGCAATCCAAGAGTGCACAAAAATGATGACAAATTACACTAGAAGAGGCCAAGGGGGGAAAAAAAGGAATCATTAGATTTTAACTACTTTGAAATTAAAGAATAATTATACACAAAGAGAAATATCTAATATTGTTTCTTAATATATAAATTTCATCCGCACCGTTTCAAATCCAATTTTCTGCCTTTTTGTCAAGAAGGCATTATGATTATGATAGATTGGCTTAATGGCATATTGCGTTCAATTTCGTCGTCAATCCATATAGACAGTCGTTTTTCCATTTCCTCTATAATGTTATTTCTAGAACGGGTGATTCTAGTTGCAGAGCTTGACGTAGTTGCAGTTGCCGATGACAGTATTTTTTCTTTATTCTTAAGGATTGTCCTTATTGTTGAAGTTGCCAAAATCAATGCAGCACTAATTTGAGATTGACGTTCACCAGAATCTAATCTTCTAATCACTTGCATTTGAGTTTCCAGTGAAATGCTTTTTCTGGTTGCTTTCTTTTCTTGTTTTTTATTATCACCCATGATAAAAACTAAAGATCATAATATTTGTCACTGTATTAATCGTTATAGTATTATACAAATTTAAACTTACAATAATGTCAACAAATATTTCAAATGATAAAAATGCGCCCACAAAGCAAGAAACACAACTACACTGTTTCGGATATGTTATTTGGAAACCTAGCGCTGCGCACAATTTCGGAGAATCCCCGGGTTGAAATAAAAGAGCGCTAAACCGAAACAGCTCTAAACGAAACAGCGTTAAGCGGGGTCTTACTGTACTTCAAAAGTACCTTCTTTGTTTTAAATTCCAGCAATGTGCTACACTGTAACTAAAATCATGACTGCAGTCGATAGAAAAGCAAATGATTTCCCTAATATGACAGAAGTACAGTAAGCAAAAGGGGTTTTTAATGTATGGGTACAACATGAACAACGAAGGGAAAAGAATTTAGACAGTTATTACGGATAATGATCTTCGAGAAGAGTAAATAATTTCAGCGCTGGTAGAAGGATGGCACCAAAAGATAATAAGCAGGTAATTTTAAATGACAAATAAACAAAATAAGCTTTACTGTTAGCTTTGAAGCAGGTGTTATATATTAAACTATCTTAATTCCCACACAGAATTAGTGACATAACAGATCAAAAAAGAGTAAGAATCAAACTCGCAATATATTAACATTAAAAGAGCTATACATATACACTTTTATAGATTTTTTTTTTTTTTAGAAAGGGCTCAAAAACAACATTCTAAAAACAGATTTCGAAGAACATATTGGAAACAAATGTCATAAACCATAAAAGAAATATTTCATCAGAATTTTAACGTACGAACCGTTTCTAATTTTAAGTTCTGTACTTAGGTAACCTCATCTATGAGAGAGGAACACTTAGTCCAATGTACAAGGAATTATGCTGAAATATTACCACGCCACTTTAATGAAATTATAGCAATATTTCACACAGGGAAAGAACATATTGTCTAGCTGCCCGGGTTCGAGCCCAGCTTTAATACAGCAAGCCAAAACACATCAAATACCATTGAATCAAACAACATTTTGAAGAGTCGCAAAAAATTTAAATGCAATTTCGTGGAAGAGCTATTGCAATTACCTACATACTAAAATTTTGACCAAAAATTCAAGAAAACTAAGATACTCTTTTTTTCTTTCGAACGAATGAAAGTCATATACTAATGTAGGGATGCTCAACTTATTGTACTATAAAACCTAAACATAGGAAT